TTTATTTATCTATTACTTTTGTAACCATTCATCCTTCTTAAACTTTTTTAACCATTGCCAATCCCTCCGGGGAATAAGTAAGTGTTAATAAAATTTGATGTTTGAATGTGAACGGTAAAGACACGTCCGAGATATGATGCTTGAACTGCATTTGTTGAAACAATATAGCCGCTAGTCAGCCATTTTCAATTCGATCCGAAAAAAAAAAATTACACGCAAGGAAATGCATGTTTCAATGGATATATAATGCATGACAGAGAATGCACTGACACACAGACTACCGCAAAAAGGAATTATAAGTTCTCACCTTCAGACTACACACGAAAGGAACTATGTTGGTGTTGATTTTCGCGCTTCGCTCCAGTGATGACTAAGATATTGGAACCTAATAATGTTAATATTGTAGAAAGTACTGTAAATAAGTTGAAATTTATTATCCGAATGCTGATAGTTTACTAAATAAGTTGGATGAACTTTGTGTTGTTATTGGGGAAAGCGATCCTGATATTGTAATTATTACAGAAATGTTTCCAAAGAATTTTGATGCTGATTCATATGTCTGAATATACTTTACCTGGTTATGACTGTTGGTGTGGAACTATTAAGAAGCATTCTCGTGGTGTAGGGACTTATGCTAAACATGGACTACCAATTACCCCCTGTTCAGAAATTAATGAGCACTGCTTCAAAAAACATGTATGGTGTAAAGTTCAGTTAAATAATGGAAGTAACTTGTTACTAAGAGCTATTAATCGTAGCCCAAATTCTGATGATGATAACACTGAGTTGCTCTTTGATCTTTTAAATAACTGCTGTCTAACTTCAAACTGTATTTGTATTGTTGGAGATTTTAATTTTCCAACCATCTGCTGGGATAGTTGGACTACATCAAGAAGTGAGAATCATATATCCTTTCAGTTTATTGAATGTGTTCGGGATAATTATTTACAGCAATTATTATCAAAACCTACCCGTTATAGGGATGGGCAGACTCCTAGGTTACTGGACTTGTTGTTTATAGATAATGAGCATAATGCTGAGAATATTATATATGGTAATCCCATTGGACTTAGTGATCATGTTTCTATAATGTTTGAATTGAAGTATTCTTATTTCATGAATAAGAATAATGCTGTTCATTATAATTTTTATCGAGGTAGATATAATGAAGCTAGAGTTATACTTGGAAGTGTTGACTGGAGTATTTTGGAGACCCTGGATATTAATAATGGATGGAATATGTTTGATGAGAAGATGAAAAATTGCATTCAACGTGTGATCCCAATTTCTAAGTCTATTGGTAGGAAAAAACCTTTATGGATGGATAATAAGGCACTGAGGGCTGTTAAAAAGAAATACAAATCTTGGAAAAGATACACTTATACTAGAAGTTACAATGACTATGCCACTTACTGTGGCGACAGAAATAAGGCTTCAAGGGCAACAAGGTTTGCAAAAACTAGATATGAGCAAGGACTAGTGGATTGTATTGGAGAAAATCCCAAAGCATTTTGGAAGTATGTGGGTGAAAAAATAAATATTAGATCAGAAATACCAGATTTAATGGACAGTAATGGAATCATGCACTCAGATTCTGTAAAGAAAGCAAACATCTTAAATGATTTCTTCAGTTCTGTGTTCATCAATGAACCAGATGGAGAGCTACCCGGTGTTGAGTATTTCTTTGAGGGTTATACTTGCAAATGTCATGTGATCTTTACGAAGGAAGATGTACGTAAACTTTTATCGAGCTTAGATGTATCCAAGTCATCTGGACCTGATAATTTTCATCCTAGATTTCTTAAAGAGGTGGCAAATGTCATCTATGAACCCTTATTTGTTATCTTCCGAAAATCCGTTGGCGAAGGTACTGTTCCAAGTGCATGGAAAGAGGCTAATGTTACTTGTATTTTCAAGAAGGGTAATAGGTCGGATCCTGGAAACTACCGACCTGTGAGTTTAACGTCTGTGATTTGTAAACTGTTAGAAAAGCTTGTGAGATCAGCTGTTATGAGTCATATGGAAGTAAATAACTTACTATCTGACTGTCAGTTTGGATTTCGAGAGAAACGTGGTACTATTCTCCAGCTTCTAACAGTTTTGGAGGATTGGACTTATGCTATGGACAGAGGTGCACAAGTTGATGTGATTTATTTCGATTTTCAAAAAGCTTTCGATACCGTTCCCCATAAAAGACTAATACACAAGTTGAAAGCATATGGATTTGGAGGATCACTACTTAGATGGATTGAGGACTTTTTGTCAAATAGACATCAACGGGTGGTTATAAATGGTAAATTTTCTGGTTGGTTACCTGTGGTGAGTGGCATACCGCAAGGTAGTGTTCTGGGACCAGTTCTTTTTGTACTTTTTATTAATGATCTGCCAGATGCGGTTAAGTCAGTGTGTAAACTCTTTGCGGATGACACTAAGTTGTACAAGTGTATTTTTAGTCATCTGGACCAAATAGAACTTCAGAATGATATTTTCAGTCTTTGTGAGTGGTCAAGAAAATGGTTATTAGAATTTCATGTTAAAAAGTGTAAGGTGATGCAGTTTGCCAAGAAGGACTTTGATGATTATAGTTATAGTATGCATAGCAAAGAAGGTGTTGTGTTCCCTATTGATATGGTTAATGAAGAAAAGGATCTTGGTATTGTATTCCAGGACAATCTTAAATTTAGTAAACATATTGCTAAAGTTGTGAATAGTGCTAATAGGATGTGTGGTCTTATCAAGCGTTGCTTTAGGCATTTGGACCAATCATCATTTACTAAATTGTACAAGGCATTGGTGAGGCCCCACCTTGATTATGGTGATAGCGTATGGTACCCCATTACAAAGCAAGATAAGAGATCTGTGGAAAATGTCCAAAGAAGATTCACTCGCTGTGTAACTGGGTTGAGTGATTTATCGTATGAGGGAAGGTTATCTGCATTGAATCTACCTACGCTGGATTATAGAAGACATAGAGGGGATATGATACAAGTCTTTAAGATCTTGCATGGACATTGTGATGTTGACCCAGCTGTGTTTTTTGAGTTATCTTCATCTGTAACCAGAGGTCACAGGTGGAAACTTATCAAAACACGTTGCTACAAATCCGTTCGTCATAACTTCTTTGCTACACGTATTGTCAATGATTGGAATGCACTACCTGAGTACATTGTAGACAGTAACAGTATTGATTCGTTCAAACAAAAACTCGATAAATTATGGATATCACGCAGATTTGATACATCATCAATTTATTAATATTCAGCTGACCAAATTAATCAAACTGGTGGGGACAACAAGCCATAATGGGCTTATTTTATTCCCCGAAGATTCCAGTAAACATTCCAGTAAACATTCATCTAAATAGTTTATATGTCTTGCTATTATAAGCTTCATACACCAGTCTAGGAGTCATCCATGATACACTGAAAATAATAATACACTAATTGTTACAACTGCATACAACCTTATTATTTTATTATGACAACCAGAAAGAAATATACATATTTCAAACATGCATGTAGTGCATTTTTAATCCATTAAAATCAATTTTGAACATATTCCAAAACATGTTTATTAGAAGACAAGATGGTTTGTAGAAATGTCTTTATTACAAAAACAGAATTCAGCATTTATCATATATTTTTAAAACAGGCAAAAGAAATGTTTATATATTAGAAATGCATTTATTATAATCTGTTTTAGTCTGCTCTATTTAGCC